GTGGTATTAATGTCAAAAGGAAAGTTGAGGTGTTGGATTGTAAATACATAAAGATTGGGTGGTATGTATGTAAATGCCCGGTAAACTAATTACTCTCACTAATTAAACCACTATTAGTACTAAACTTTATCTTTTTGGTGACCAACTTCCGATCAGGCATTTATCGATATCTGAAAATATTTCTTCCCTGAAAGAATGAAGGGACATTTACATACATACCACTCAATTCCCATGTAATTTACATATCTAACAGCTAAACTTTGCTTTTTTACATTAATACAATCCAAATCTTTCATATAACATCAAAATTTAGTACCATCTCAAATTTTAAAAAGTGAAATGCACCTTTATCATGGATGGGTAAGGCAGTATGTTTGTAAATGTTCCTTAGTTAAAATTGTGAAACTTTCTTCCAAATTTAGATTGCAGATTAATTGCATTCTTCCATGAAAATCTGTGTGGATGCAAAGAAGCCCTTCGCCAAGTTGCCAGAAAAATGGCTTGATCTTTAACTTAGGAGATAAACTTTAGAATTCACTTCATCATTTATAAACCCATCACTTTCCAATCATTCTCTTCTCCTTCGAACCAAATCGACTATTTCTGTCTTCTCAGATTGCCCAATAAACGTCGAGTACGTGGACTACAACATCATTACGAGCAAGTGCAAGGGACCCCAATATGCAGTCAATTCCTGCCATCAAGGAATTTGCATGCCCTTAAACAGTAACCAATGATTGTTCTTCCACCATGTTCAGCTATATAAACCTTCAAGGAAAGTAACCACCCGGTCTTTTTTCCTCCGAATGCAAAGAAGGGAAGGAAGGGCTGGACTGCAGGGTATACATCAGCAAGGCAAATAACGCTACCGCGAGCTCCTCGGCTCACCTGAATCAGAGCTTGTTTCCTTTAGTTGGTGCTGTATCTGGGCTTATTATGGCATTGATTCTTCGTGGAGTTTTTTTTTTTTTTAAATTTGGGTAAAATTTTATATAATATGTTTATTGTATCTTTAATTTGTTTTCCTTTCTTTGGAAATGAGTTGTAATGGCTTCTTTTCTCAAGTTTTCTTGGTAATTATAATGCATTAGTTTATTTTTATATTGTCTTTAGAAATCCTTTTGCTATTTTTTGCTTTACATGTCCAAAAGTGGGATTTACAAACATAGTACTTGAAACTATTAGCATTTAGATATCTTACAAGTAAACTTCAATATTTAGATATTTAGCACCCAAAACATTAAAATAAAAATAAAATTAACATGCCGTTAAAATTCTTGATCATGTCATCTCTTTCACCTGTTAGTTTGCGAGCTCTGGCAAAGCCTAGGAGCTTACCGCTAGCTCAGCTCACAAGTTCGTCTGGGAACTCGTTGCACCAGCCATATGTTAGCTTCAGCGAGCTATGTTCCTGCAGCCTGAGAGCTTAGCTTCAATTGTCTGTTGTTCTCTTTAAACAGCTCAATCGAATCGACAAAGAAATCGAGGTGTGAGCAAAAGGGAGATAAAAAAATTCTGTACCATTGCGATTTTGTTGATGACATGATGCAGAAGCAATCAGAGATGAACAAGGGGATTAAGGGTCTGATTGGGGCAGTTGCCGCTGTTTAAAGAAATTGTTGAAGAATAAATATATTATTCAAAAAGTTTTAGTGAATATTCAAAAAAAAAAAAAAAATTTAAAGTCAGATCGCAAGTTTCTAGCAGGCACCGCGGGTAGTCAGGTCTGGTGAAAAAATATAACTTTTAGCTACATTTTTTTGAAAATGCAAGCAAAACACAGTTTTGCCAAAAATAAAAAATTGTGGTGCGGTACAGCACCGTCGGCCCACCAAAACGCACACTCAGTCTAGATCAACTTAGAGTTGGGACATCCAAGTGCTGGTGAAAGGCAGGAATGGAAGCTATGTTTGGGAAGATCTTCTAGCACTGTTTAATGTGTGTTCGACAGCGTAAAATTTGGAATTTAGGTGTGAAATATATAGTATTTGTAGTTTTAAGTGTTATTTATCTAAATCCTCCTAAATCTTTATGCGTCTCACGTAATACAAAATTTAGCCCTCCTTTAGCAATCATGAAATGAATTTATTTAGCTTTTAATCACTGCTATTGCCGGGTTTCAAGCCCACGATGCTAAAAGTGAAGTGTAGTATTAGATAGTCAACAATCAATGAAAATTTTGTAAAAAAATCATGATATGAATCTTTTAAATTCTTGTATAGATGCTAGGACATCCCCTGAAAGAGACTCGGTATATAACCTGAATACAGTGAAAAGTGTGTAAGGGCCGCTACACTAGCTCCCGGATATAGTGTTAAATAAGCAAGAGTTCTCACATTATGGACATATACGGTCAAAGACGTTGGTCTATGGAACTAATATTAGTATTTTGGAATATAGATATTCTCACAGGTAAATTAATGGAACTAGTTGATATTATGACTCATGGGAAGATAAATATCTTAGGTATTCAAAAAATAAAATATGTCGGAGAAAAAGCTAAAGAGATTGATAGTTTAGGTTTTAAACTTTCAGGTATTCAAGTATTCAGGTAGGTGGAACTAGTTTATGTATTCAGGTAGGTGTCACACAAGAAATGATGTTGGTGTAATTATATATAAGAGTTTGAAAAATAATGCTGTAAAAATTACTAGAATTAGATATAGGATTAAAGATCGTTGTTGATACTAAGATTTTTAATGCTATAAGTGTTTATGCTCTTCAAGCAGATTCCAATATAGGTTCAAAAAAAATTTTTGTAATGGCCTATAAAAATTAATACAAATGATATATTTTGAAGAAAAAATTTTTATTGGAGGGGATTTAAATGGACATGTTGGTAGAGTGGTGGAGGATTTTAGAAATATCATGGTGGCTATGATTTTAGAGTGATTAATGAAAAATATAAAACCATTTTAGATTTTACTTTAGTGTATGGTTTTGTTATTGCTAATACTTTATTTAAGAAAAAAATATGAAAATATTATTATTTATAATAATGGATCTAATAAAATGCAAGTTAATTATTTTCTTATGAGAAAAAGAAAACTTTGAGAGTGTAAAAATTTTAGGTCAGTTCAAGTGCAATTTAAGTACTCAATATCAATTATTAGTTTTGATCTTTAAGATGAAAAGTTGTAAGATAAATAATACAAGAAAATATTATCGTAGAATTAGATGTGGGCACCAAAATGTCAAATAAAATTATTTTTATGAGTAAACTTAAGATTTTAAGATTTGAGATATTTATGAAAAAACGAATTCTATATTGGATAAAGTAACAAACACTATTAAACAAGTGAAAAAAGATGTACTTGAAGAATCAAAAGGAAAAGCTTTTATAAATTAAAATAGTTGGCGGTGGAATAATAATGTGCAAGAAAAAAATAAAATATAATAAGTGTTATAAAAGTGTGTTATATGTAAAAGCTTAGAGAACTGAAAAAATATAAAGTAACCCATACAAAATCTACGAGAACAATTTGTGATACTAAAAAATTCATTTTTAGTAATCTTTATAATAGATTAAACATATAAACCCCTATTGTGTGATTGTACGAATACATCAAGCCTATTTTGTGATTGGAAAATTTTCGCTTAGATTGAAAGTAAAATTTTATAAGGGTGGTGAGATATGCAATTCTCCATGGCATAGAATGTTGACATTTAAAAGAGAAGCATAAAACCAAGTGAAGTTTTGCTAAGATGAGAAAGCTTAGGTGGATAAGTGGTTTGACACTTAAGAGACAAAATACAAAATGAATATATCCTTGATAGGGTTGGTGTAGCTTCAGTGGCAGACAAGATTAGAAAGAGTTGTTTTAGATTGTTTGATCATATTAAACGCCGACCATTTGATAATTACGTTAGGAGAGTAGATGTTTTAGATTCAATTTATGTTAAGAAGACATAGATGGACCTAAAAAGATTTGGGCAAATTGTATAAAAGATCTAAATCTATTAGAATTAAATGAAAATATGACACTCAACAGAACACAATGAACAAAAATGATTCATATGGCCAACCACATTTAGAGTTTGTTTGGGGCAGCTTATGTGTTTTAGGATAATCAGCTTATATTGAAACGTAGCCCGCAGGTAGACCGCGGGGCGGTCGACCTGTCGACCGCGGCGGGCGACCCGGACCCGTGACTTGCGTTTAGTGTAAAAAACTGAAACGCGGCAGACAACGTTTCTAAAAACGCGTATACTAAACATTTAGACAGCGTTTTCAAAAATATCGCTGCACTTATAAACTGCCCCCAAACAGACCCTTAGTGGGATAAAAGGCACTTCGTTGTTGTATTAATTAGTAATTGTATGATTTATTAATTATACATGTTGGTTTGACTAAGAAAATAATAGCGAGCTCTTTCCAATATTTGATAATTTCATATCGTTAATTCATGTATTAGTTATTATAATCCAAGAAATTAGTTTTTTTTAATTAGCAACATAAAGTTTAAATTTAGTTTATAATCTAATGAATGTACTTTATAATTTTTATTAAATGAAAGTACATATTAGTAGCAGCCAATAAATGCACAACGAATGAAGAGGTCAAGACGGCCGTAAGAAGCTGACAATTCACACCACCAACTTGTTTTTTTGGTTCGGTGGCATTGATTACGATCATTAGAAAGGAAGTCAAAATTTTATTTTATTTTTTGAAGATTTACATACACACCACTCAATTTCTATGCTTTTATCTATCTAACCCTTAAACTTCAATTTATATATATATATATATATATATATATGTATATATATATAAATGCGTATTTTATTTTTTAAAAGTCAAAATAATGATATTTTTTATCCAACATGAATGTTTGGGTGGTGTAAATAAAGAAGAATTTAGTGGCACGTATGTAAATTCCCCATAAAAAGTTTATGGGGATATTCAAAAATCAAAGGATATAATTTGGAAGTAAAGCAAACCATAAAATTAACATATTTTTATTATATAAATTTAAAATATGATAGCATTATGATTCCCCTATTATATCTTCTTATAATATTCACTATAAATATGCTGATAAAAAATATCTTCTGCTACACAGTTCCCATCTAAGGTCTTCTGCTCCCTTCAAACAACTCATTGATCTTCATCCCAACTTCCCTTGCGCTATGATGCCTCAAATTTTTCTCCCCATTCCTTCTTCCCTCCACCAATACCCTGTAAACCTCAAGAAAACTCCTGTACGCCGGCAAGACGATTCTGGCAGCCGCAACCCTAAGCTCCTTCCTCAGGCCCTCGTCCGCCACCACCCAGTCCATCTGCGACTGCCGTGTCTCCTCCAAGTAGACGTCCACCATCCCCAGTCTCTCCCTCATCACATCAGCTGTCGGCAAATTGTCGCCGTCGATCCGAAGCACCGCCGTCACCTTGCCCCATGAGCTCTTTTGGTACTTAGCCGCCCACTGCCGCTCCAACGCCGCCTGCCGCCGGGGCCAGTCTTCACCAAGCAACATCAACATTTCACTGCTGCTGCTGACCTTCTGCATCATGTATCTGTGACAAAGTTTGTTTTTTTAAAAAAAGTTTTAGGTGTGGAAATTTCTCTAAATTAAGAGCTCTACAAAATTGAAAAACATGTTTTGAATGAATGGACGAATTCAGCAACTTCTTTTATTTGGGTAGATAAAATTAGAATCAATGTAAACATCTTCAAACTGGTATAAAAATACAATTTTTAATTGCATATTCAAGATGAGTGAAAGTTAAATTGTTCTTTTTAAAAAAAAGTTGGTTCTTTTGCCCATAAGAAGTTTATATGTAAAAACTCTATTGTAATTCAAAATGATTATAACAAGAGTCATACATTTATGGACTTTTTCGTATATAAATCATCACATATCTTTATACTTATTTATTTATTTATTTATGTTTGCAAAGTGCACATTTGGATGTGAGACAGGTCCGAGTATTACAGGTAAAAATTTGAATTTTGATTTTAATTAAGAAAAAGCGTAATAAATAAAAATGACTAATTATTTTTTTTTTAGCATCTATTACAAGAATGTAGCTTTATTCTGTAAAATTATTTAAAATTTAAATATTATTTTAATAAATAATTTAAATGAACACATGGCAATCAATTTAAAAGAAGCTTATTTTATTTTAGAGAAAGATGTTTGCATTTACGACACAGACATACGTTCTTCACTAATTTAATTACTCAATCTTTTAAATCTATAAATTATTATTCTTTTATTCTTTTTTGCATAGTTTCTAATTAAATTTTTATGTTTTGTTGTTGTATCAGGTTAATCAAAATTCAACTGGAAAAAAATTGCGTACATACACTGTTTCACGGAAAAAAATTGCGTACATAAGACGTATGCAGTGATGGGTACGTCCAGGGGTTATTCAGGGGGTTCAGGAGGGTTATATCGGGGTTATGCCCCTCTGTAACTCCTCTGTAACCTCTTTGTAAACTACCTGTAACTTATAAATGAGTTCCGCGCTTCTGAATTTCATTTGTACAAATTAGTTACACGGAAGTTACAAGGGAATTATATAGAGGTTACAGGGGGTATATAACTCCCCTGTACCACTGAATAACCTCTGACGTAAGCAGCGCTGTGTACATCTTATGTACGCAAATATTTTCCCTGTTTCACAGTGTTTTCAATTACAAAGGAGCTATCTTTGTTAAGAGAAGACCTTAAAACAAACATTCCACTTATCCTTACCTGCAATTGTTCATCAAGAAGATGCAGCTCAGCGCTGGCTCCCTGTACACTCTAGCCTTTGTCCTCAAATTTCCCTGCAACACCTCCATAATCCACGCAATCTGTGCCGCGAAGGGCGAGGAGTCCTGCTCAGGCAGGCGATCACCTGCGTCAGGCAATTCATCTCCATCCATCACTTCCTCCAACGTTCTCCGTGAGTCACAAGCAGCGACGAGGTAATTCATCACATAGCGAGTGATGGGATGCAGTCCGCCGCCTGGAACCGCCTCCGTCGCCGGATCCCGCCTGATCAAGTTATCAAACTCCGTGAAAATCCCACGAATCGCTGATCCAAGCTTCTTCCAGACGGTAAAAACCTCAGCCTGAATGGATTCCGAGTACTTATCGGAGAACAGGGCATCGAGCTCCGGGACTATGTCTCGGAAGGCCTCGTACATATCAATCACCCTAAATAGCTTCTCCGGCGAACGTTTCCCAGAAGAAATCGCATCGGCGAATCGCAGAAGCTGGATTACTGGGCCTCGGCATACCTCTGCGAAGGAGAGATCGGCGACTGCGGGGGAGCCGGAGAAGATGCGTCGGCAGAGTCGCCGCTCGCTGGGGAAAAGAATGCGGAAAGCAACGTTCATTGCCTTAATCCAGCGAAAAATCTCGTCCTCGAGCTCCGTCCATGTTGCTCTCCCGAAGTCTTCGATTTTGGGGGTCCGAAGGCGGATACCTAGTCGGCAGATGCTTTCCTCAAGAAAATCCTGCCGGGCGATGCTATAAGCCCGGGCGCACTCTTCTCCAAAGCCGGCGGCAACCATTCGCTTTGCTATCTCATGGACGTCAGACAGGGTTCCCGGCGGGAGAGCGTCGATGAAGAAATCGTAGTCTGTAACCGGCGACGCCACCGGGATCTGATCTTCTTCGCCGTCGGAATCTAATTCCGGCGGCGTAACAGGGTCGAATAGGGAGTCACGAAAAGGGTTCTCTAGCATCGAGCGGAACTCGTCTTCGAGCCGGAGCATGCACTGCTGCAAGAGATCGTCGGCGCGGTTGAGTGCGGCCGACGGATTGATTCCCCGTACGGAGGCGATGAGGGAATCGACGGCGTCGAGGAAGGCAGCGGCGTCGGAAGCGTCGGACCAGATCGAGATATCAGAGGATAGGAAACGGGAGATCTTGCGGTCGATGGAGGAGGAGACAGCGGTAGGAGTGGGTTGGTCGTCACTAATGGAGTCATCGGGGTTATGATCGGCGGTGAGCCTCTCGCGAGTGAAGCGGCCATCGAAGTCGGAGAAGATTCGAAGGATGTCGTTGGCCATGGTATCCGTACGGCCGAGAGTCTTAGCGATGTGGCGGGCAACTTCTATGAGCTTCTCTTCGCCGTGTTCCGCCATCTAACTCATCGAATTAGGGCTTGCAGAGCTCGGCTTTTGACGGAAGAGGAGCAATGTTCCCACCAGAGAAGAGAAGTAGAGATTTTGACGACTGCGAGTATGAGAAAACGTGGCTGCGGATAATTTAAAAAAAAAAAAAAACAAAAAAAGGACGCGGTTACTTGGAGCTTCGTAGTTTCGCCGGAATTGGGGGAGCGTGGTGTTTTCGTAATTAAATAGTGATGACAGTGGCAGTAAGGTGAAGTGTGGAAATGCGATTGATAGAGAACATAGGAAGAGAAGGGAAAGCACTTTTTCACAGAAAATTCATAGCCATGTCTTCTTTTTATTTCAGGCTTCTTCTCGTGAGCTCTCTCATTCGTAAAAATGCCTTTTTTTTCTTCTCCAGGGTCTGTTTGATTCGGGGAGAGCCTCAAATTTGTGGAAAAGCGTCAATTTTTTTAAATTATTTCTCTCATTCTGCAACTTTTTAGCTCGTGGGACGGTGGGATCACTGTTTTCTGCCTTACAAATCGGCGTTTTTTATTGGAATCGCTAGATATTTTTATGTGGTAAGTAAGGATGCTTGAAGATTGATTTGAATTTTGGCTTGGATTGAGATTAGATTGAAATAAATGAGCCAAAATTTTGAATTAAATTTTTTTAGAGCATTTTGAGTCAAAACCGACTCGGCTCGAAATTAGATCATTAATGGCGTATGGTTATGAATTTGGCGGATTTAGATCGAAAATCATTATTCAATTGAAAAGTCATTCAAATTTTGGCTCAGAATAAGTTCAGATCGAAATAAACGAGTCAAGCTAGGGTCTAAAATTTTGAGTCGAATTTTTTTCGAGCTGATTTTGAGTCAACCCCAGCTCAACTCGAAATCAAATCGTTAACAACCCTATTAGTAAGTTTAGTGGAATTTGTATGATTATATTGTGGTGTAGTCCTTGAAAGTGTTGTCTCTCATAGTGAGGTTATCAATTTGAATTGTGCATTTTAACTTTGAGCTCACACATTCATAGTAAAAAAAATCACAAAAAGGTTAGTGAAATTTTCCACAAAGCTCACTGACCTTGGAAAAAGTAATTTCATGTAACATTTTCCACAAAAAGCTTAAAGACAATATGCATAATTCAAACACGTAACCTCATCGTGAGAGACAATACACTCAACTATTATGCCACAAGGTAGAAAATTTAGTGAAATGTGACGAGTGTAGGAAGATTCGTTGCTGTATACTGATTATTTAGTGTTTTAGTGTTGCATAGAAGTCCATCATATACATAAGTAATTGAAGTAAGAGATAGATGCACCATAAGTTTTACATGGAAAACTCAAAATGGGGAAAAATCAAAGGCTCTAACCGAGTCAGAACAATTCACTATAAGTAGATAAGTGCACGCACATGCCCTTGACTCATAAGCAAGAAAGGGTTACATAGTTTCTTGAAGTATCATAATTATATGCAGAAAGATTCATTATACAATGGTTGGAGAAAGTTTCAGTTGGGAGAAGTTGTCAGAACTTCAGTGCACCATCTTTGAAGCACATCACTGCACGTTGTTCGGGATGATGCACTGCTCCGTAGGGCGCCGCCTTACTACTTTGCACAGTGTTTCGTTACTCCTCTATAATGTTGGTCCATACTCTGCACTTTGTGTCGTTACTCTACAACATACATTGTGACTCCGCGAGGGACTTTGTTGCAACGAGCAGGGGGCAATCGATGATGGTCGAAGGGTGGCCAACGACAGCAAAAACAAGAAGCATTCGTCGAGACTTCAGTTCGAAACAACACTTAAATTCAGCTCTTTTGCAAACCAACTCCAGGTTCAGTTCTTACTCTGGTTCAAGGTCTAAGGCCCATTTCATGAAAAGGATAGGACTCTCTTATAAATTGGGGAGTGGTCTTCCTGCGAATAAAGAAAGAATCTAAAGAATCTTGATCAAATATCATTTTGTGCTATCGAATGACCTAGAGAAATTCTCCTAATTAAATGTTATTTTGTAGACATTTAAGTGCATTAATTATGTCAGAATTGAGAGATATTGAGTTCGTTGGACTCTTCTTGTTTAAACTCTCGATTTGACCATAAGTTTGTCAAATTTGGAATCCATTTGACATTCCAATTAGCTACCCAAAACTTGCAAATGTATTTTAAAGGTTTGATTCAAGCTTGATGTGACTCAGATTAGGTCAATTTTGGAGTCATTGAGTCTGTTTCGTCGAACTAATCAATTTGACTTTAAGTTTAAAGAAATCAGAATTCTAAAAAAAATTTTAATTTTAATTTGAATAATTTTTTGCTAAAAAATGCTTCAGGATTCTTGTTAATTGCACGACATTTGAGCCAAATGAAAAAACTCGTTGATTGTATATCAGTTGCCCCACTATTTTCAAACTATTTTGCTTGCTTGTCCAAAAATTATCAAAATAATAGAATTTTTTTTAAAAAAATACAAAATTTGAAAATTTTTAGCGACAGCTAACGATGGTGTCGGTGAGGTCGAGTGGCTGCGGTGGCGGCGACTAACGGTTGGCAGTAGTGAGTCGTGACCAGTGGCGTCAGGGGACAAAAAACGACTGTCACAATGTTGCGGGGAAGAAATTGGATGATGGCAAGATGGTGACTGACGATAGACGGTAATGACGCACATTGTCGGCAGCGAATGCAAGACTTACATTGGGCACAGTTCAGTTCAAAGCTGGTCAACGGGTTGGAGAGACAGATGGGTTTGGGATGTAGGTCGACAGGCTAGATCAACTGGGCTGGTTGGCGGTCTGGAGCAGTCTACTGGACCAGAGCGAGCCAGGGTGCGGCAAGCAAAGTGGGATGGTAAAGCGTCGTATAGTGGAGCTCAACAGAGATAGGATTTGAGAGTTGTGGATCTGTTGGTGCGTGTTAAGTCAAGCGGACGGTTGGATCCGCTTCGTGCGTGACTGCACCGAATAAGTGGTTTTCCAATGTTAGAATGTGTGGAATGTTCTTTTTAATGTGGATTGATTCATACGACCATCTGACTGCACGAAATCAGATGGCATGCGCAATCAAATGCAAAAACACTCAAATTTTGGCCACTTATTTGGTGAAAATTTGGAGTTTCCGAGCATATTTTTATGTGATTAAATGAGATTTCTTTTGTGTTGTTGTTGCCCATGTTAGAGTCTCCCAACTTGTTTTTATGCAATCAATACAGTTCCCTTTTTGTGTTGACGGTGCCCACCTCAAATCTCTTAGTCTATTTTGTGCGAGCTATGAAGCTCCCTTTTTTGTGTTATTGTTGCCCATAGGCATGCGTCAATTTTACGTGATTTTTGTTTTTGCATTTCACATGTTGTTTTAATGTATTTATCATAGATTTACACTTAAGAATGAATTTTTTTAATAATGTGCATAATGTAGGAGTAAGTTAAGAATAAATTTGAATGATAAAATCAAGTTAAAAAGTTTCTTGAAGCGACGTGACCAAGTTTGAATGTGGCATGAGCGCACCATTTATCACAGATTTACACTTAAGAATGAATTTTTTTAATAATGTGCATAATGTAGGAGTAAGTTAAGAATAAATTTGAATGATAAAATCAAGTTAAAAAGTTTCTTGAAGCGACGTGACCAAGTTTGAATGTGGCATGAGCGCACCACATATCGAAGACACCTAGCCTGATCACACCAAGTTTGATCCCCTGATCTTTTGGGAAACTCATGTAGATTGTCCCCTAAACCCACTAGCCCTATGCTAGGGTCTGGCTAAAACTAGTACATAGAGGACCCAAGTGGGAATTTTATTGGTTCATAGCTCATATAGGGTGGCTGTTACCCTAATTCTACCAAAATATCCAACTTGTCCTTTTGCCCCCAAATCCACCCGATTACCTAAATGCCCTTGAAACCCTAAATTTGACCAAAATTCTCAAATTCACCCAAAATATCCAAATTTATTTAAAAAATCATTTCAAACCATTTCAAAATACATAAATTACCCAAAACTGCCCAAAAATGCCAAATTTACCAAAATACCCCCAAAATTGCCAAAATTACAAAAATACCCTTGGCACCCCATACTTTTCCAAAACCTCCAAAATCACCTTTCAATTGAACCAAAATGTCAAATGTTTCTAAAACCAATTTGGACCCTCCAATTGAACCCAATTTGACCATTTTGACCAAAACCCCCAAATTGCCTTTAAAGACCCAACTTTCCCAAACTCACCTTAAATGTCCATCAATTTGGCCCAAATTTCCCTCAATTTCAATTCTAAAACTCAAATTCACCTTTCATATGACCAAAATAAACCAAATCTAATCTTAATTGGCCCATGATTTGAGCCCAATTTTGATTTAAGTCAAACCCCCAATTTTGGCCCTATGAATTAATCCCACCAAATTGAACCTCACAACATACTTAATTTGCCCCAATTTGGATCATAAATCTTTAATAACACTCATACACACCAAACATGACCTTCAATTGGCCTTGGTGAAGCCTCAATTTCATTTAATTTCAACCTAAATCCAAAAATCTCCAAAATTGCCCCAAATTGGCTGTCTCCAAAATCCACCAAATTGAATGCCCTAACCCCAAATATGACATGTCTTAATACCAAAATTGGCACCCAATTTATGTTAAGAACTCTTCATTACTCCTATAGACCATTTGGAATAGTCAATTTGAACCTCACCTAACCTTAGCCCAATCTAGACTCGAGTCTAGCCCAACATGCCCAAATTGACCAAGATCCCAAAATCCTTCAAATTGAGCTTCCAATTGAACTCAAAATCATTTCAATCTTTCACCAAAAATCTTCATAACAATCATCTACACAATTTTGATCAATCAATTGGGCTCAAAGTCATGGCTAGCCTAACCCAAACCCAACCTTTGGTCATTTGGACCCAAATTAAACCCATGACCAAAATTGATCTAGTCATCTTAAAGACACCAAATTGATGACTCCACAACCACTAAGCACACTCTATTGACCAGGCTAAACCCCTTTGGACCACCCAAGCAAGCTATGGACCAATGGGTCCCTAAATTAAGGGATTCATTCCCATTTTTAGGCCTTAACCACAAAATCTCTTCCATCATTGCTTGCCTATGGGAGTACATCATAATTAAACACCCACTGACCTCCCCGGGCCAAGAAGTGACTGAACCTTGACCAGCCACCACCTCGGTCACCGGAAAACACCAACCCGAGAAGGCAAAAAATGGTCAAACACCCAATTAAGCCCATCCAAGCTGTCCCAATCCAATTGGAGGTTTGAGGCCTTCTTCTCTCCACCTAAGCAGTTGGGCTAAACCACTGGCTAGCCTAATTGAAGCCCCATGGCTCCTCTATTTTTTCATCCATCCCCTGCATCCATCCCCCATGGCTAGAGAGGAGGCTGAAACCAACCTTAACAAAACTCTGTCCAAT